GGCTCTGTGCGTGGGGGTGTTGGGGGCAGGAGGGGGTAGCTCTGTGCGGGGAGTTTCTAGGGGGCAGGGTGGCTCCGTGCGGGGGGAGGTGTTGGGGGGCGGCTCTGTGCGCGGGGGGGCGGGTTCAGGGAATTTGTGCTGGGGCGGGGGAGGCGGCTGGCTGGGGCCGAGGGGCGGTTTCATTTTCTGAGTCACGTTTCCTGTCTCCGCCTGCCCCGCTCCACAGTCGCCCGCTCAGACCCGCACTCGCACCCCCCGACCATGGCGTGCAAGGAGCAGAGCGTGAGCATCGACCTGCAGCCCCGGGGCCTGCCTCCCCCCTATCCCGGCACCCAGCAGGGCTTCCCGGCCGAGCAGCCGCGCGACTTCGTGCTCTGGTCCCTCTTCAACGTCCTGCTGTGCCAGAAGCTCGCCTGCCTGGGCTGCCTGGGCTTCCCCGCGCTTATCTTCTCTATCAAGGTGAGAGCCGGGCCGGACCCTCGGCGCCTCCCGCCCCAGATCCTCCCCCCGGTGCCCCCCCAGCGCCCCAATCTCTCCAGCCCGCCCGGATCCCCCAGCGCCCGGTTCCCTCCACGTCCCCCGATGCCCCAGCACCCGGTTCCCTCCCAGATCCCCCGGTGGCTGGATCCCCCGGTTCCCTCCAGGTCCCCCGGTGCCCTAGCGCCCGGATCCCCCGATGCCTCTAGCGCCCTGATCCCCCCCCCAGGTTCCCCCCGGTGCCCCCAGCGCCCGGTTCCCCCCGGTGCCCCCAGCGCCCGGATCTCTCCAGCCCGCCCGGATTCCCCGGTTCCCCCAGCGCCCGGTTCCCTCCAGGTCCCCCGGTGCCTCCAGCGCCCGGATCCCTCCCCCGGTGCCCCCAGCGCCCCGATCTCTCCAGCCCGCCCGGTGCCCCCAGCACCCCGATCCCTCCAGCCCGGCCCGCCGGGAAGTTGGTATCCAGGGCACATTCATCCCCTCTCTCCGACCCTCCCCCATCCCTTCCCGGAGCCCCCTGGTCTCTCCCGTCTCCTGGCAGTTTATTTTCCCTTCCTCCACAGCCCTGACTCTGGCTTTTCTTTCTCCGCTCAGCCCCCCAGTCCCAAGGCAGGAATCCACCCTGCGGGGCAAGCTGGGCTGCCCCACAACCGGGACTGTCCTGTGCTGCTCCTGCTATCAGCCGTCCTTGGCCCGGACTGTGTGTGGGCGTTTAGGGTTAGGAGTTTGCAGGATGTGAGCATCCAACTAACTACAGCAGGGTGAGCCTGAGGTTGGAACTTGGGGGCCCTATTGGATGTGGGGGTATTTAGGGGCCGCAGGGAGCTTTCCAGCAGAAGGAGGTTTTCAAAAAGAGGCTGGAGAGCCAGCCCACTTGGGTGGGTTAGATTAGATCTTTGCACCCCCTTCCTAACCCCGTGGGTCTATGGTTCTGTGATTCTGAGCAGCAGCTCAGTGATCCTCCCAGAGGCTGCAAAGCCACTCAATCAGTGGGAAGAGTTGTCTAGTTATGGTGCAACATCCTGATTGTGTGGCGGTTGTGTTGTGTCGCTGATGCAATGAGGTGTGAAGACTGTGCCACACCGACTGGCAGGGTGTGATGATGCAGTTTGGTGAAGCGGTGCTTCCCTCTCACTCCCCCCTCCCCTTTAGAGGGTCAGGGAAGGACCTGGCGTGTCTGGGGCACTTGTTCAGTGCTCCCTGCATTGCCTCTGGTGTGCGTGTGTGTGTGTGGGGGTTAGCAGTGGGAATGGTGCCCCACATTAGTGCTCCAAAGAGATGTGCTAGTCTAGTGTGCAGACTGAGACCTGGCTGGGAATGATCAGTGGGACAGTGCAATAGGAACATCAAACCACTATGCAAGGGACGCACTTCAGCTTCTCCACGGGCTGGTTTGGATGCCCAAGACTCTAGTAAGTGAAGGCTCCGCTTGGGCTGTAATCAGCCTGCCCTAGGAATTAACTGGCTCCATTTTCCACAAGGAGAGACTCAGCCAGCGCACTAGTGGGGAGTAAAGGGCTCCTTGCAGCTGGAGTATAGAAATGACCCACAGAGGAACACATGGGTATGCTGTGCCAGGGAGAGCGCATGAGAACCAGGCACGCAGTAGAATGTGGACTGCTGTGTGTACAGCTGGGCCAGCTTTAGGAAATTGCAAACTACATACTCCCAAAGTTTTGGGAACTGTGCATTTGTTTTTCCTTAATAGTATCTATTCAGGCTCTCTGAGGTCCAGTCCTCTGCAAGAACAACGGAGACCTGAGGTGTACCAAGGAAAAAAAGAAATGCAATATTTATCATTGGGGAAACAGCATTATCATGTTCCCCTGTCTGTCTCTCCAGTTTTCTTTCTATAATGTCGTGACTTACACACAATACAACATTTCCACAGTGTTTAGGGCATCCAGTGTATATGTACAGGGCCTAGCACAATTGGTCCCTGGCGAGGGCTCTAGAAGCTTGTTTATAAGGATTTCCTGTCACAAGTGGGACTTTTTAGCAGGCTTAAGGATCCCCCATGCTAGGTTTTCAGTCAGCCTTTGTCAGGATAGCAAACCATTCATAGACATCAGAGGTGGGAAAACGCCCCAGTTAGGTCATTTTGTCCCCCTCCTCTGACAATGCCATGTTTTCCACCTAATACATATCCCACCGGATAGTTGTACATATTCCAGGTGATGTGGGCACACCTCCCATTAGGGAGTCATTTTTCTGATCTACTGCATCTTCCCTTGCTCAGTGGCACCCTCTTATTTCTAGTTGTACCCCAGCGCACGTGGGCACAGAGTGGTTGTTCTCACTGCTGGGGCTTCACATCTTTGCAGGGAGTTATATATTTATATAAGTGGGAATGGGGATCAATTTTATGCATTTGCCCAAGTGCCAGTTAGATTTTAAAGCTGAAATCCAACACACCATATTTGCCTATTTGATGTGTTATAGTGAATGTTGGAATGGAATTCAGTTAGGATACCCCCTTTTTATTGAGTCCAGGAAGAGACAAGATGGGGGGGGGGGATATCTTTTATTGGACCAACTTCTGTTGGTGAAAGAGACAGGCTTTCTAGCTACACAGAGCTCAATTTTAGGAGCAGGTTCTTTTGAGGGCAGCTTTTACCTTGGACATCCTCTCTCAAATCAGGGCACTTGTGACTAATCAACAGTTTATTAATCCCCCAATTACCATATAAGTATATAGTCAACAGATGTGGTTGCTCAAATGAAAATTGCCTGCTTAGTTTCATATTAGCCATTTCATACATCAATGCTGTTAGGCTATAGCACCATCTTGTGGTCATGTTTTTTGTTGCTTATTTAAACTTACACCCCTCCCTTTGTTTCCTTTTTAGTTAAAGATGGCACTGTAAAACAGAACAATAGTGAATCAAGGATTTAGCACTGGTGGGTGGGACCAACATGCAAACAAGCAACATTATACAAATGATCATTATGCAAACGAGCTGCATATTTACAAAAGGCCATGAACTGCATGATATGGAATGCTCTTCACAAGCAGTGCTTTTTGAAATCTTGGCTATTTCGCAAAACTGTCACTTGTATTTTCAACAATCCTAGTGAAACCTCAATGAATAAACATCTGAACTAGCTCCCTTTGAACTCTGGCTTCTTCTCTTTCTGCTGCAGAAGTCAGGGAGTTCTCTATAGCTCAATAAGAAGGTGCATGGGCTGTGGGTGCTTTAGCTTGGCCCAGAAGGGGCTAAGCAGTTAATAAAAATTCTCCCACCCTCTTGACTGCTCTGATTTTTCACATGCTCCTGTTTTCTTTTCCAGGCCCGAGATCGGAAAGTACTGGGGGACCTGGAAGGTGCTCGGAGCTATGGCACCACCGCCAAGGTGTTAAACATCATCGGGTCACTGCTGGTGGTAGTTGCTATTGCTGTGGTCCTTTTCTTTTGCTTTTGGAGACCTTAACAGCATCCCTTTAATGAAGTTCCGGGGACTGACACCAGCCAGGCATTCAGAGAGGGGATTGGAAGATAACTCAAATGGCGAGGAAATGACCCACTGCTGGCTGTTCATGCTGTGATGGAAATTCACAACAGGTCATGAGTTCAAAAATTGACTCATTAATAGCACCATTGTAGCTTTGATGCTAGTTATGTGGTCACCCTCATTTCAAATCTGCGCGGGCCCCCACTTCTCTGCTCCATGCACTGTGGCCATGGAATCGGCCACTACCTACTTGTTCCTCTTCCAGCCTGATCCAGCTGTTTACCTTTTTTGGATTTCTTGCACTGAAAATCATCCGCATTCACTGCTGTTGTGACCCTCCCTCTCTGCAGCGCCCAACATGGAGAGTAATAGATGATGAGGTCAGAGGAGGCTCCAGTCTACCTCACTTTGTTCCTAGAGATGGACCAGAACCACCCACTCTTTGGGGTAGTTTGGATCCAGGCTTTGCCATTGGCCCCCATTTCTACAATGGGCCAAATCAAAACATGGGTTCAAAATCCCCCTCCCACCCCCCCACCCCACCCCCGCTTCCCATGCTTTGGGACATTTAGATCTGGATTCGAACTTTGTGCCTTGGCCCAGTTTTATCTGTCTGTATCAACCCAGCAATAATGTTCGCCCGGGGCAGTATTTACAGCAGTAAAGCCATCTGCAGAGACTCCGGCCTGCTCTTTTCACTGCAGCGACCTGCCCTGCGGGGAAGAGAGAAGTGTAAAGGGGACAAAATGTTTAACTTGATCTGTGTGATGGGGTAACGCACTGTGCAACACAGAGCTAATGTGGGACCAGTTGGCCCCGCCCCACCTCTGAGGGATGTCAGAATGGGGGGTGCTTAAATGGGAGAAACCCAGCTGAGTTGGTTGCAGAGTGGGGAGGGGAGCAGTGTGCAGCTCCTGCAGGGAGGGGGGGCTGAAGGCAGGAGCTTTTTGTACAACTGCTGCCCAACAGCTCCTCCTGGAAGGAAGGGTGGGCTGGCCCTGCGCGATGTGGATTCACCATGAGAGGGAACTATTTCTCTCGGTTTTCTTGTGAACTCCTCAGTTTAGGGCCCCAGCCCGGTGAGCACCTTCTAAAGAACAAGAGCCTTAACCCAGCTTGGGGATGCTTCATTTGTATTAATTCCCCTTTTGTTCTGGTCACTGACGCCCGCAGCCAGGTGCTCTAGCCAGGGCCCAGCTGGACGGCTGAGCCTTTTAGGACTAGAACCGGAGTGGGAAAACTACCCGGGCATCGCAGAGCAGGGGCCTGGGTGAGTGCAGAGGTCCTGCCTAGAGCCTAGGGGGTGCCTGGGAAAGGCACTCGGGTGTTAATCTGATTAAAAATAAAAGGCCTTATGGTGGTTGGCAGCAGCACATTCTGTCCCCACACACTCAGTTCCCTCCACACCCAGGGACCCCAGTACAGAAGCAGCAGTTGTACTGAAAGTGTGGGGAGTTTCCCTTCTCCCTCTCCCCTTGGGTCAGGCTGGGAAGAATTGGGCTGAGTCCTAAATAAGTGAATGCATCAGACTCTGACACACCCCTTACAAGCAGAAGCATCGGGCACTCGGGTGCCTTTATTCCAGTGGTTTTCAAACGTTTGTACTGTGACCCCTTTCACATAGCAAGCCTCTGAGTGCGACCCCCCCCCCCCAAATTAAAAACACTTTAAAATATATTTAACACCATTATACATACTGAAGGCAAAGCGGGGTTTGGGGTGGAGCCTGACAGCTTGCGACCCCCCCATGTAATAATCTCGCGACCCCCTCAGGGGTCCTGACCCTGAGTTTGAGAACCCTTGCTTTATTTAGTATCCCATAGCTAGGTATGTGCTTCCTTCACCCCCTGGCTCCATTCCTCCTCTTTACCCTTGGGCCCATTCCTACAATCAGTGCATCTATAGGGCTGAATTGTGCTTCCAACAAGAATTTGGGGGAAAAAATTCTCAAGTGGACTTTGAGTTTGCTCCTTGACCTGCCCCCTCTCATAGAAGGGCAGGATCTGGGTCCGAGGTACGAGCCAGTGCTCCGATGGAGCGGAGGGGCGGGAGGAATGTGAGTGTGAGGTCCTACCCACCAATCTACATAACTCAGGAGACCATCAATTTGGTGTCCACCACCTCTGTGCCTGCCAGGGAACTGGGGAGGTCTCTCTGGGGAGAAAGTGACCTACAAGAAATGGCAGAAGAGCCACAGATGAGGAAGGATATTGTAATCTCATCTAGTCTGGGGTCTCAATGCTGGAGACTTCAGAGTGAAGCATGTTAGTAGATACTAAAACTGCTACAATTATTTTATATATTTTTATACATATTTTATATATGTTAACCAAAATCCTTTTTGGGGTATAAACCAAAGTGTTTTGTATCTACAAATCTAGTGCTCTGTACCTATGAAACTGAAAAGTTCTTTGTACTTAGGTTGAACCTTAGTGAGGGACCAAAGGAATGAATGTTTGTAATCAGTAATGGAATGTGTATAATCCTTTCCTCTGACCCTGTTGACCTGTGAAGAATTGCATTCCCATGTCCAGAGAGGGACCACTGTTGATTGGCAAGGGATGTTTGTTATTACACATGTATTCTGTGATTGATAAAATAATGAACCACTGGTTGATGTTTAGGTCAATAAGAACCACTTATTGTCACAAGTGGTTTTGGTAATAATGAATCAGTCACAGATGTCTTTATCTTATTCATGAGGTAAATTGAGGCATCTAAAATAGAACTCGCAGTTAAATCAGCCCATGGGAACGGAATTTCTTTGTCCCAAGCTATGTATAAGGAAAGAGTTTTGGGGAGTTAAATCAGAAGTGGATTGAGCAGCTGTCACTTCTCCAGTGATCAGATTGGTAACATATGTATTCCTTTCTGTATTCTGTATCAGGCTGTATTAATCTTTGACTAATAATCTTTGATTGAATTACAAATGAACCAGCTATCAGACATCTTGTGTTATTAATATTTTCATTATTAAATTTGAACATGCAACAAGCATAAACTCTCCAGATTGTGCCTGATGCTGCAAGATTATGTCCTGGGTGAAATTACTGTCTGACCCCAACTGGTGTTCTGAAGCGTGTGGGTCAAGACTAGAGCTGGAAGGAAAATTGATTTTCTGTCCACAAAAAAAAATTCAAGATTTAGATTTTTTTCTTTGTCCCAAAAAGGAACAAAATGCCAAAATTTCTTGTAAAACAAAATTAAAAAAAATAGTTTTGGGTCAATTGATACATTTTGTTTCAATTTCAACCCTTTTTAAAATTTATTCTTATTTTTTAAAATAAAGTAAACGTCAAAACAAAGTCATTTCAAAATGAAAAAATCAAAACGTTTTGTTCCAAAAATGTCAAAATGGGGGATTTTTCCCCCATTTTTTTTCCAAAATGGAATTTATTTAAAATTGATACTAAATTGAGGCACAAAAAATGTAGGCTCTGTCAAAACAGCTATTTTCCAGGAGAGAACTGTTTTTCAATGAAAATTTCTGGACCAGCTGTAGTTAAGACCCCCTGTGTTGGGGCGCGCTTGCCCCGCACTGGTATTGCAAGGGTTAACTCTACTCTTTGGCCAAGTTATTTACAACATTAAAGCAGATAAACATAGATAAACAAATGAGTTAAAAAACCCTTAAGTTTCAAAAGGTAATAGAAGCTTCTATGTTCAGCAAGCTCTATGTGTCCTTTAGGGCTAACCCAGGCTAAGCAGCTGGGGACCTCTTGCTTATGCCTAGAAAATATTGACCCCCAGAGTCTAAGCAGCACAGAGATAATCAATTCCTTCTATTGGAGGTTTTTATATCTCTTCAGCCTGAGCTGATGGGAGGAATTCAGTTGCATAACTCATCTTCATGGGGGTGAAGAGAACAGGACAACTGAGTCTTTTGTCCTCTTTAATGTCCCACAATAGTCCATCTGGTGTTGATGGACCTTTCTTGTTGGGCAGGACGAAACATCTTCTGTTGCAGATTAGCACTTTACACTAGTTAATGTTTCTCTCCTGTCTGGTGATTTACATTGTCACGCAGACTTACAATACAACTGCTTAAATACTACCTTACAATATAGCATATGGAGATTAGTGCATGCAGCATCTCACAAGCATTTAATAAAGTCTAACCACTACACACATCCTTATAGGTCTAATACCTACTTGAACAATACCAGCACACAGCACCGCCACCAGCAGCAGCACAGAAGTAAGGGTGGCATGGTACCCCCGCCCCTCTGGCTCCCCCTCCCCCTGACAGTGTCCTCCATTTGGGAACTTGAAATATGGTAATCCTAGCTGCAGTGATTACATCGCTTGTGTGTGCGTACACTTAGCCCCTTGTGTCAGCGCTGTGTGGCATCACCAGGAGCACTTGTATAAATTATACTTCCCCAGTGTGGGGCCTTGTGGGAAGGCTCCTGAAAGCCGGTAACAGGCGACATAAGCAACGCAGTGTCTACGCTGTCACTGCATCCACCTAACTACGTTGACCTTGACGCTATGCTGCTCACAGGGCTGGCTCCAGGGTTTTTGCCGCCCCAAGCGGCGCAAAAAAAAAAAAAAAAAAAAAGCCGCGATCACGATCTGCGGCGGCAATTCGGCAGGAGGTCCTTCGCTCCAAGTGGGAGTGAGGGACTGTCTGCCAAATTGCCGCTGAATAGTTGGACCTGCCGCCCCTCTCCGGAGTGGCCGCCCCAAGCACCTGCTTGGCAAGCTGGTGCCTGGAGCCGGCCCTGGCTGCTCATGGAGATGGAGTTAGTAAGTTAGCGTAGCCAGGCAGTTACATCGACGGGAGCGAAATTTAAGTGTCGACACTTCCATAGTTAGGTTGACGCAAGGTGGTTTATGTTGGCCTAACTCTGTAGTGTAGACCAAGCCTCACACTGGGGCAACAAGCTTAGCTATAAGCTTTCTGCTTTTCCTCCTGGCTTAAGTAACTGTCAGCGATCTGGCTGTAGGCTGAGGCAGCTGAACTGTCCGTCAGGCAGTCATTCCCTTTGCAGTGGTGTGGTAGGCCCACCGGGAACCTAACTCAACGGAGTTTCCCAACTGAGGAGTGGGAAAATTCTCAAACCAGTCACTCAGTGAAGGGAGCTGGATGCTCCCTCTCTTCCCTTTCAACTGACACCCCAGAAGGAGTGACTGCCTCCTCTCTCTCAGGCATCTGGGGTCAAAAACCAACCAGAGCGCCCCTTTTTTGGGACATCTGGGCAGCTGCTTTAGTTCCGTCTCTCTGGCCTCCTCTCTGCTTAAGGGAGGGTTGCCTGGCAACGGGGCAGCAACGGCTTCTGGGACTCCAGGCCCAGGTAAGTTTCACAGCCTCACTTATGGTAAGGAGGATGCGGGGCAGGGGGGAGGGGAGGAGGGAAGTTACATTTGGTATTTTTCTTAAAGCCCACATGACTGCATGGAAATCTCAACTTTCATTTATAAAAAAAAAAGTGAGTAGTTTCTAACCATCTCGATTGCAGAGTAGATCACAAAACTGGAACTTGAGAATATCCTAAAGCAGGGGTGGGCAAACTTTTTGGCCTGAGGGCCACATTGGGGTTCCAAAACTGTATGGAGGGCCAGGTAGGGAAGGCTGTGCCTCCCCAAACCCTAACCCTATTCACCCCCTCCCACTTCCCGCCCCCTGACAGGCCCTGCTCAGAACCCCCGACCCATCCAACCCCCCCCTACTCCTTGTCCCCTGACTACCCCCTCCTGGGACCCCTTGCCCCTAACCACCCCCCCGGGACCCCACCCCCTATCCAACTCCCCCTGCACCCTGACTGCCCCTCCCCCATCCACACACCTGCGCCCCGACAGGCCCCCTGGGACACCAGCCCCTATTCAACCCCCCTCTAAAGCCCCTTTCGGAACCTGGCCCTGCAAACATGGGTGGAGGACTCAGGAGGATCAGGGGCAGCCGCGCAGCCGGAGAGAAGTGGCGGTTTCCCCTTCAAAGTGCCGCTTCTCTCCAGCCAGCTGCATGGCTGCTTGGTGCGCCTCCTGAGTCCTCCGGCCGTGCTCCCGCCACCCTCCCTGCTCAGCTCCCCTGCCCCCGCAGTACAGCCCCCTCCCGTGCTGGTGGCATGGCGAGCTGAGTCTGCGGGGGAGGGGGGACAGCAGGGGAGGGGCCAGGGGCTAGCCTCCCCGGCCAGGAGTTCAAGGGCCGGGCAGGACGGTCCCGCAGGCTGGATGTGGCCCACGGGCCGTAGTTTGCCCACCTCTGTCCTAAAGGCTCAAAAACAAATACAAAGAACCCCCAATGTATTATTTTTATAAAAAACCTCATGATTTTTAAGCCAATATTATGACTTTTTGGAGCCTGAGTCCTGATGTTTGAACAATACCAGGGGCTGCAGGAACAGACTTAGAGCTACATGTCGATCGTCTTCAATTCTGATAACAACAGCAGGTTAGAGAATGGT